TACAAGATACTATACAGGAGGAGACTCTGATTCCACTTCACCGCCCAGTGTATACTCCATTGTGTGGTTTTCGGAGCTGCCAGGGTTCTTAAGTACGTTAGATGACCAGGGGGGCTTAATTCTTCCCCAACTACGTTTATTGGACAAGCCACCTCTAGTGCTTGTCGACAAGAATCTGTGAACTATTTAACGAGGATGTCTAGGTCCTCTTTGTTCCCTGGTTGAAATGACGAAACCATAAGAATACGCTTTTTTAGCTCCTGTAGGGGCAACTGTCTGTTTTCCTATGATTTTTTGTTTAGTATAAATCAAAAAAAATGTATTTACGAGTGAGATAAATATTTCAATCTAATCCATTAAAATATATATATTTGGACTATAATAACCATGAGGCCTGATATATATTTATTTTATTATGGAACTTTACATTAAATTAGATATTTATCTCGCGAGTAATTGGTTTGAGTAATATTATTCTAATAGTCTAACATGCTTCCACGTTTCTTGAAAGGAGTTATTATATAGAATAAAAAAAAATGTATTAATGTTTGTATGCCCATAAAAATATGATTTGATATAAATGTGATTCGAATAAATTCATTAAAATATCCACCACGAAGCCTCTATAGTTTATGTAAATACAAAAAACTAACAAATCATAACACAAAGAATTCAAAACAAAAATCACCAGCAACGCAAAGCTAATTTTACTTTATTGTTGTTGCATTGGTGCCACAAAATGGCAACAATCGACGCGGCCTACCCAGAGCACATCAAAAAAGTATCAAAAACAAAAAAGTGAATTGCATTCATAAATGCAGACGCAGTACGCAGACGCAAAAGAAATATGCCAAAAAGGTGAGCAAAAAATGCGAAAATTGTAAAAACAAAAGCAAAAGCAATATTAATACACTTTAGCAACGGCAAACAAACGGGATTGGAGAAGCTTTGGCTAAAGTTAAATTGTTGATAGTGGTGAATGGTGGACGTTGCTAGCTGACAGGCAAAAAGCGCTTACTTATATTGCTGGTTGATTGCCTACTGGCACGCCATTGCCATCGCCAACGCAAACGCAAACGCAATCCTCCAGCGCCCAACAACCGACAACAGGCAACGCCATTGCTATTTGGCTGGTTCACTGACTACAAAGTTAGCGAGTGAAGCGGTCTGACGGGCAGTTTTTAAAGAGGTTTTTTTTTATAGTGCAATGGCTGACGCTGCAAGAGCAGTGCTTAAGAATGGCGGCTAGCTGGTGATTGTGGTGGTGGCGGTGGCGGTGACGTTGGTAACGACGAAGACATAGCGCTTTCGAAGTTTTTTTGATTGTAGCGCTCTAATGTGCGTGTTGTTATTTACTGCAGGCATGCGATTCTCGGCAACTCCATCCACCTTTCGAAGTAACATTTTTCTGCATAATTTCTTTGTGTTTTATTTATTGAGTTTGCTTCTTTTTTCTGTTGTCCAATCAAATTAATTTTAATGTTCGCATTTCTTGGTAGTTGATAGCGCTCCCTGCTGTAATGAAATGTTCGCTGGTACGTGCTTGCGCAACGTCTTCGCTGCCACCGGTGCCATCAGTGTCAGTGTAGTCCCGTAGGCAACTCTACTTGATACTCGATCATTGGCCGCTAATGGCACACTAAAACTATTACACACACATACACACATACACACATGCGCTTCACAGCGCTTTCAGACTGTGCAAATACTACATCTAAAGAAAGAAAACTGGTTGCACGAAGTACAACTTGGTGCATGGTGCTTAGCTGGTCTACTACATGGCGCGCAAGTGGCAACCTCATTCGCATTACAAAGCGACGTGCGAATGTAAATGCTATTGCAGAGTTACAAGGTTGATGCCACACGAATGACTTCTGTTGTTACTCCTTAAGCAGACACAACAACTGAGAATAAGAAGAAACGCAAAATAATCGCTGCAGTAGAGTTTCGATAAAATTGCAGTTTCTTTTCGCTGATAATTGTCTCTGCTGCTACCAGTTGTAATGAGCTGACCGTCGCCGACAAACTGCAACGCTGCAGTTTAGCTTTCCGTTTGCCATTTGCTGCAGGAAGCACAAGTTGTAGATACCAGCTGTGTTCGTTGCATGCTTAGTATTTACTATGCCCCATTTCGACTAGCGTCAAATTAGGTAATTGCAATGCATTAGATATTTGGTTGTACGTGTAAGTGTGCGGGTTTTACATAGTCTGCAATTCGTTAGTTGCGCCATTTTACGCTGCTGGTTTCCACGTAGTGACGGACATAAATTGCATACAACAACAAAGTAACCATGCGAAAATTATAGACTAATCTTGGCACAGTTAATTTTCCACAGAATTTTGCTACTGGTTGTATTCATTGATGCATTATTATTAATTACTATAATAGAACTTTTTTAAATAACGGTATCAGTTGTGCATTTCCGGTTAATATCGTGAAATATTCAACCGCCTGCCTAGATTACCGGTACTCGTCAAATATATATATACTTCACCTTGCTTTTTTTTTAAGATGTTCGAAACAATCCGACAACTGCTTAGGCTTACCGCCAGATAGCACCAAAACCCCAAGATGAACTTACTAGCAACCAGATTTGCCTTGGTGCGACTGTTTTTTTACTAACCTGTTTAACCGTCAAAACTTTTCAGACGAATTAACGAAGATACATCATCGTTTTTTCCAAACTTTTCATTTTGTAAGCTAATTAATTCACGGACCACTATTGTATTTGACTTTAAATGATATTAGAAATAATATTTAATAAGTTGTTATTTTTTAAATTAATCTTTGGTTTTCTGTAAGTTAAATTTCTATTTAAGACAAGAAGAAGCTAACTTCGATTGCTCCGAAGCTGTAATACCCTTCACAAATTCAAAAGACTGCTTACAAAAACTTGATTTTGACCAGTCAGTGTTTTGGCAGCTACATGCTATAGTAAAACCCTCTGAACAAAACTGAGGGACTACTTCGCATTTATATAGATATGTTAGGCTTACAGACGGACAAATGCTTAATCTACTCAGCGTGTCATAATCATTTATATTATATATACGAATATGTTTTCTGCGTGTTACAAACTTCGTTGCAAACTGAATATACACTTTTCGGCGGCACAGAAGACACCCTACAATAAACGAGTATGTGATCGAATTAAATTGTAAATAACGGTGTTTGTAAGTATCTGAATGTATCTTATCGTCAAAGTAATGTAAATAGTTCTCTGTTATGTATAAGTATAATACATATATATGTTATGAACAAAAAGCAGTTTTTTAGGAATGATAAAGTAAAATTTGTATTGTTTTAGTTTTTTTGTATAAGCCATTTTATAAACATTAGAAGAAACTCATTGCACCCATTATATTGCGATACAACCCAGTTTGTACAAACAAGTAAAACTGCGCTATGAATTCCTTAATCATTCTGATATCAGAAGCTAAACATTTTGTAAACATTTGTAATAATTTTCGCGATTAAAAAATACTGAAGTTAGCTTACTTAAGACTTAAGCAACAAACTCTCTTTTCACTGAAGATACTATAAACTGTTATTGTTCTAAACTGAAACTAACTTTATTAAGAAGATGAGAATTTTAAGTCATTTCTATGAGATTTAGTATATTGTAAGGTAACATCACACTTTAGTACATAAACATATGTGCAAGCAAATAAGAATCATAAATGACGCGAGCCAAAATATGAAACATCTGCCAAGCGCGCACAGGATGTGAGCTGCATGAAAATTGATACTACGCAACATGCAATACAGAGGGAAGTCCACTACGGCACCCATGCTATAATTACATAGTTTGCGAATATGAAAAAAATTAAAATCATTCCTATATGTAGTTATGAATAAATTCAATTGCGCAATGCAAAATGATGAATTGTGCAGATTGTTAAGCAACTACATATAATACACCACTCAAAACTCAAAATGGATTCGCAGCGTAATCAGAAACGCATCCATCAATGGCACTTCCGCTTAACGACAAAAGATCGAGATTGGTAAATGCTGGGTATAGCTAAATACCCTGTTCTTATACGTACCCTAGCAGCAATAGCACCCAACGAGTTGACAAATACCACCAGAACACACTATTTCCAGTTTTCCATTTTTTAAATATTTTCTTATTAAATAAACACTAAGTACTCAAAGGATTCGTTATGCACCCTAGGCGCTTAGCACTGATTTGTAGTAAAAAAGGGGAAGGTGCGAGTAGCACAAAGAGTAAATAAACAAAATAAAATGGGTGCTGAATGTCTACATACACAGACTCACAAATATATATATACATTCATATACGCCATATGAAAGGACTTCCGCTCGACGGCGATGTCTATAATTATATTAAAGTCCGCTTTCAATGAAAAAACTGTAATTTAAGAATAAATTACTATAAAGCTTGAACCCTGTAAGCTATTTCTCCACACTGCGGAAATGTGAGTAAAATGGAGATATATTTTTACGATCTTATGTATGCAGAAATATATAGCTTCCATACAATAATTATTTGAAGTATTGGATTTTGTTAAACACAAATTTCTAATTAACAAGCCACTTAATACAAATGTCATAACCGTTGCAAATCCTTTTACGGATAATCTGAGTAAATTCATATAAATGAGTTCATGTAAAATTGAACCGAAACACCATCGAATTTACAAATAACCATGTAACTGCCTTAGCACTTACTTCCCTCCTACTTACTTAATTTGCTTTTGATTTTTTATTAACGTAACCCACATACAAATACAATTGGACAAAAGCAACGTTTCCGGTTTGACATGTGACAAAAATGCTTGCCCTCAGCCCAACAAAAAAGGATGCAAGCGAATAAAGGACATTTCCCAAATATTGTTGTATGCCTTACGCTACTAACATTCTGTGCATGCCAACGGACCCCTGTACAGTGGGCGTTACATGAGCTACGCCCACTTAAAACTGAAATCACAACGGATTGTGAGGTGCGAGATCCTTTAATAATAATCCTGTTTCATTGCAATTCCGCTCTCCGGCACATTTACGTAGATTTCAATTTTATTCCACTAATTCTGTACTTACTTTATGTACCGTATTAATCGAATTGTTGTATTTAACATAGCTCATTATGTTCTGTGCGATCTGTGCATGTGTAGAAGTTGTTCCATGTGCGTCCTCAGCAGGCTGCATGCACTATTTGCAATGCAATGGTTGTAGGTAAGTAACCAGTCGTCCGAGCGCTACTGGGCGTATACGGTGAGCGACTTCACACATGCATACAAACATATCAAGTATATGCTTGTATATACATACGTATATGTTATAGGAATATTCATGCGCGCGTGCGTACAGTACTCGCCCAGTCAGTTTGTCAGTTTATACGCCAGTCAGTCATCCAACCAACCAGCCGGCCTACCGTTCTGCCTCTATTACCCGCCTCTCGGCCAGCCTTCAAATAATTTTCGCTATAGGGCTATAGGTGGTGTACGAACGTAGGCATGCGCACAACTGTCGTATTCAATGTTGGCGATTTTTTCACTTTAAATTCAACCGTTCTTTTCGCTATTTATGAGTAATTGTTTATATTCGGCAGACTAGGCTTTGCACCATGGAACGTGCTGCTGATGCATTATATGATTGCATTATTTGAAGCTGATTAGTTGCATTGAATTATTGGATGAATGCAGTGGGTCGAAGGAGTTGATAATTTCATACATTTCCTGCTGAAATGTTCAACATCTGTGAGGAAATTCAATCCGCTTGGTATATTTTAATGTATTTTTGAGAAAAGTAATCTAGTAAATGGAAAGAAGTTTCATTGTTTTAAGGAAGTGAACAAATATTTTATAAATTCGTTATTCACTTACACTTAGTTCATTATTTTAACTTAATGAATAGGACGAACGAAGTACATAGTAAACCTGTACCAAAAGAGTGACATAGAAATAAACCTTTTTGCGACAAAGCAATACGCAGAACCTTCATAATAAATAATGATATTGTAGTAAGCACAAATTTTGCAGTGCTTTTCGTCTTATGGCATCAGGCTTAATATTATTTACTATAAGCAGTTAGAATATTGCTTATCTTTGAATGTCAGAAAACACCTTACCGGTTATTTGGATGGTTTTCCCCAAATCAAAATATTTGCCGTAAAAACTTTAGTTGAAATTTGACGTTTGGGTATTATCGATAAGAACTCAACATGTCAACAAACTCTTGGTTGAGTTGTTATAGTTTTGCAACGTTGCCCTTGAAGTTGTTTTCGAAAAGTTATTAAAGAAAAAGAAAAGATTATTAAAATATTGAGATAGCAAATTGTTGGTAGAAATAGAAATTTATATGATTTGCGCCTACGTGCCTAAGGTAGAAAATTTATAATCGAAATAAAATTGACAATAATTTCTTTTCAAAGTATCATTTGATTTTTTTTTGAATTTCACTTATAATCATGATATATATAGAGTCAATAAAAAGTCAATGTGTTTTTAGCCATTTGGATTGTAATAAATAAACTGCTTCACATTACTTATAACTTCAATAAAGACGCACAATGTACATTTTTATTTGCCCCAGTTCAACATTAAAACTATTTCCACTGCACTTTGATAACTGCCGTCAACAAACGACAAATTTTAAAGTGGGAGGTATACCTGTGCTTCGATTCTTAGCGCGGTGGATTCAAGCGATTCATTTTAGGATCTATGCACTCTTTCGTAAACATCAAAAAATTTTAAACTGAAATTAGTTGTAATTCTTATGCCAAATAATATTTTAGTTGTTTTAGAATTCAGATGTTCCAATTTCCACCATAAAACCATGCGAACCATAATAAGCGTACCAAATTGAAGTTATAAATCATTATTGAAATATTGCAATCAAACTAAACTTTAATGATGAAAATAAAAACATTTTGCACACCCTATAAGCGGGCATCTCATACTTATATACAGTTATGGTTTTATTTAAGAACGGTTTTTGAATTTCAGCAATATGAATATACGCTGAAGTGTAAGTATAGACTAATTATCATATCACATAATCATAACTAAAGTGACAAAAATTTACTATTATTTAAAAAAATTTAAAAAAATATATATTAAAAATTTATTTCTAGTGATATCAATTTTTTTTCCTTGAAGTATTATATATCTTAGTTGACTGCAAATTATTGCTAAAAATAGGCATGAATATTCATTATTCTCATGTATCCTTATTAAAGCTCAGCGATACATGATTTTTTTTAACTTTTTAATTTGTTGGCGTTTTCAGTGAATTATATATCCGCTTCTTTCTTAACTAAGTAGATTAGGCGCAAAAAATGAAAATTCCTCAGAGCATAATGAAAGCAGTAGAAAGGTGTTCGTTTTTAAACCTTTGGATGTATGCAGTTAAAATTCTTTTTCTAAACTATTAACAACTGTGCTTGTTAAATAGAGGTATACAAAACACATATTTCAACGCTGTAATAAAAAGCATCGAGGGAAACATATGAATGTATATATATATTTTTTTTTTGTAGCCACACTATTTTCTAAACGAAAACAGGACCCCCTAAACTCCAATATCAATTTTCATTGACACACAAAAGCCACAATCGGTGACGTGAGAATAGTACATATACATAACGAATTAAAAAAAAAAAAAAGAGTTTAAAAATATTATTATTAACAGCGCAATGCCAATCAATTGTCATATAACATAGGTAAATACCAGGTTAGCAAGTCCCTCATGTGCAACCCACAAACTGCACGCATTTTCTAGTTTATTAAAAAACGGCCATCTATGAGATACACGCATGCCCTTTTCTAGCGATATAATTGCTGAGATGCGTGCAATTCAATGAATGCGACAAACCGACAACAAACGCAATAACAGACCGTGACAATATTTGTTGTATTTAAAAACTAACGTCACAACAACTGACGCAACAAATTTAATTTGAAATATGCATGCTAAAAAGTTCGTAATATAGAATATTAATGAAAGCAAAAAAATCATTCAGTCATACAAATGTTGCAGGCATGTTATTGCCTACACTATATATGTATGTGTTACATCTCTCATCATGAATCAACCACAAAATATTATATAACTGCCGGTTGTTTGAAATTATAAACTTAGAGGACAATGAGTAAAAGTGCAGCGTAATGTTGACAAGCTATGGAAATTCTTTATCCCAACAGCAAACTGCTAAAATGCCTTCCCTTGAATTTGCAAAATAACCGTTAAATTTAAATAAGTATAAAATTAGTATAGTTAAACTTAGTGCGGGTGTAACTGAACATTATATGATCTCGTAATTTGTGAAGATCCATAGCTTTCTTTAAAAACTTTCGAAACAAATTTTATTTAAACAAGAAAATATTTTAACCTCAGTAAAAGTAATACCTTTCACAAATACAAAAGATTCCTTACAATAACTTTGATTCAGTTCAGTTTGTATGCCAGCTATACAAGTATGTTATAGCAATACGATCTAAACAATTTCTTTGGAGATCGCACCATTACCGCAGCCAATAATCTATGTAAAATTTCTTGAAAACCTCTCGTCAAATAAAAAAGCTGCCCATACATGTTTGTATGGCAGCTACATGCTATATTGGGTGCAAATTATCAAATCGATAAAACTGAGGGACTAGTTTACATACATACAGACAGGCAGATGGACGGGCAACCTGGCTAAATCGACTCAGCTCGTGACGTCGATCACTTAGGTATATATACTATATAGTATAGTTTTGAATTCCATATTCGTTATTAGATGAGCTTACAATAGTATTTGGTATTTTATTAACCAAAGATAAAGATCATAGGCTCACATAGTTTCAATACTACAGTTTGCTTCATGTCCAATAAAATCAACTTAAGTATCATAACTAACTTCGAGTATATTATATTGGTGCTGTGGAAAGGTACTTAATTTTACGCAAAATTTTTATCGGATTACATAATGATAAAAAGAGAAACATTTTCGATTAAGAGAAAGTATGTATTGAGATATATGCGATATAAGATCATTATTTTAATGGTATTGGCATAAAGTCCTCTAGAATAACGCAAATATGAGTGCCTCTGGGCTACTTTCAAAAATTATATACTCAACTTCCCTAAAAGCGTATTTTTCAATTTTTACTAACTTTTAGTTTAGTCTAGTTAGTTGTGACTTATCCATATGCAGTAGAATCCAAACAGCTTATTCAGGAAATATATATATAAAATTTAATATATGAGCAGGCAGTAAATATGTTGTCGTAACTCGATCCTGGCGATTTCATATAAATAAATGGAGTACTTTAAGTCGTAATGCAGCTTGGTTTCTGGAGAGGTTCTGGAATATTGGGATTAAGCTTATTCAGCAACACTCGTATACATATGTACATATATTTTATATATACCGAGCTATAAAATTGCATTTCAAAATCAATGCTTGAAACACCACAAGGAAGGTAATTGCAATATAAAACTAATTTTTTGTTGTTATTAACTAATACGCATAATTATACACCCAAATAATAGGTATATAAATCTAGATATAATACGTATTTAAAGTACATACATAACTGAAATTTGTTAGTTGTGGCTTTTATATGCATAAACACTTATATATAAACACTGTATAGTACACCTAGAATAGTCAACAATTGATTCTGCTCTTTTTATAATTCATGTATAATATACTTATGTAATTTGAGTGTAAAAATTTTAATGAAAATAAAACTAAGTGTAGTGTAAGCCAAATATATATTTTTGTAAATCAACGCCTCCTTGTTGAGCGTTTTGTTTGACATTTTGCAAAACCTGTTATTTGGCTCATTCAGTCAACAGTGGGCGTGTGTAACAATAATCAACAATGGTTGTTGGGATAAATATGTGTTGAAATGCTTACGTAGGATTTTTAATAAGTGATGTGGTTTATTTTGTTTATTTTCTAGGTTATAAAACATCTTTCTTTTGTTATTATGTTAGCTCTCAATGCAAATCAAAAGAAGCGAAAAAATTCAAAGTACAATACTTGTAGTAATTGAAAGACACTAAAGAAGGCCCCAATTTAAACAAAATCAGAAGCAAAGTTATGCATTTATTGAATATGGGGTCTAAGCTTAGCTATAAATTGCACTTTTGGTAGCGATATAAATTTTGCCAAGAGAAACGTTGTCCAAATATGTGTCCAAAAGTGTTCTATAAAGTATAAAATCACGGAGAGTGACGAAAGTTCGTCGGTGCAGTATAAATATACAAAAGGTGAGAAATGGTCTAGGAAAAGTTTTGAATTGAGCCGATCTATTTATGAGAGAAATTATATTTATTTATTTTAAGGTTAAGACTTTCATATTCATATCAAATATCAAACTTTTTTGGTAACACCCAAACACTAAATACACGGTTAACATCAAAGATATCGCCATTTTAACAATGTTTTTTTCATAAGAAAATAAATATATTTCAAAATTAAAACCGCAAGTCAAAGTTAATTGTAAATACAACATTATAATTTTTAATTCAACTCTCAATAATTCAAAATTTAATAATGTATGTAGCTTAAACTAAATCAACAGCATTTTTACTAACCACTCAGGTGTAACTAATGAATTTACCGCCAGCATTCAAAGGCATTCAAGTGCACTAATTTCAACCCATTGATAAAGTGTTAGCAAAACAACTTTTGTTGGTCAACAACAGAAGCCGCGGCAACAGCAGTCAGTCGCCAGTAATTAAATTAAAAAACAAAAACACACAAAAAATAGCATGAATAGGGAGATTTATGTATGACATTGTGAATAAAATTTAATTTTCAATAAACAAATAGCACAAACGCCGTTGAAAACTTTGGTACACAAGCTCCTATAACACAAAGAACCAAAACAATTAACCAAGCAGAATTTTTGAAAAATTTCTACCGACATACATTCATACATATTCCATGCAATACAGCGTTACTTTGGCTGATAACCACGTGTGCCACATGCCACATGCAGTGTTTTTGTCAGCTACAATCTGCGGCTTCATTTAACGCTGCTGCAGAAGTCAAACACCAACCAACAGCAATAACACGTACAACAATAGTTTTACTATTCAACTTCTGTTGACAACAAACCACAAAATGTTGCCACAAGAAGCAAGAAAATGTTGAGCAGACCTCTACACCATACGAACACTTTTGTGTTGCCTGTGCTGCCTGTGCTGCCTTGTCATTTATCCACCACATGTCCTGGCCGTCGCATTCTGCCTGCATTCGCCTTTCATTTGTACTTTTATATGTTCACTTTTAATTGTTTGTGACTGCAATATAAATTAGTATAATAAGAAAATTTTGCGCGCTATTAGGCATTACAACGCGAAGGTACAGCCACAACTCTGTTCGATTCTTTTGCATTTTCCCAGCAAATATCAAGAACTATTATAGAAAACACAGCATCATTACTCGAAATATTTCTCAAATTCTACACAACTACTCACTTTCGTTTAGATGTTCGAAAGTGTGAGTAGATGTGTGTGCGTGCGTACTGTACAATATTGTCTATTACCAAATTGATATTTATGTTCGTGCCACATTTGTGCCGCTCAATTGTCACCCCACAAGAACAAAAAAAAGTGATACAGGCACACATTTGCTCATACTCACACAAATGTGTGTGCGTAAACATTTGCAAAGCCAATTTGTCAATTGGCATAAATACAACAACAAGCGGTGTGATGGGATATTGAGAATGGTGTGAATATGTTGATCACGTAGTGATCATCATAAAGTAAGAGCAGAACCGATTACTCTTGATCACATTTTTTTGACTACTGCCAATATTATGGTATTAATTGGGAGTAATTTTTTGGAGATAATGAATAAAATAGACACCTTTTGGTACAGGTATTCAATTGATGGAGGAAATATACTTAGAAGAATAAAACTATATGGTACACATATAAAAATAATCACCAAAATCCAGCGATATTTTGAACTCTTTCACACTTCTCGTAGGATCATAATTTGACCTTCTTCCTGGTTTACAAAAATATTTGATCAGCTACAGCAACAAATTTTGAAAAGTGCGATTATTGAAATAACCCAATTACTTACGAAACCAATAATAAACAGCACTAACATTCCCAAATGTAACTTGTGAGTAATAAACACAACTGACAAATTTCACCGATAGCCTGCTGTGTCATTGACACGAAGTACTTTTACCAGTCAATGTTATCGATGCCCACATACTAAATGACACCATGAAAAAATCCCATTGTGTCATAGATTGTAAGCGCACTGCATATTAAACTTTCGTAGAGGAAATTGACCATTGACAAAAGTCAAAAATGATACATAAAAAAATATTGAATAGCATTCATACATACAAGTATTACCGCATTGCCGCATCGCTATTGTTATTTTTCGATTGTCACTTTGGTTGGTATCAATTGCTTGGCAAACAATAAATTTACCCTAACGTGCATTTTCGTTTTACCTATTATTTATGTATGTTACTTTCCAAGTTGCAAAAAATAGAACACAACGGTGCATTGCAGGCATACAATGACGTCAATTTAACGACTCCAGCTTCCTCATTTTCAGCACATTGGTAGTGGAAACGGAATTTTTCAGATATTTCTTTTATTCTTAAAATATTATTTCTCTGTAATTTTTTCGGCTTATTCAAAGCAAACAAAAAATAACAAGGTAGAAGAATTCCTTTTTGTAAATTAATGTATATAATCGTACATTTAAACATTTGCTAAATATTATATAAGCTGGCTTCGTTTCACCCAGCGTTTAAAGAGTATTGAATCGAGCAAACTATATCGGTCTAACCTGTGTTGTGTTTCTTTGTTTAAGAGAGAAATTCTTTCCGCGACAAAAAGATATTTTACTAATCCATAAGCTTCGAGATTTATGGTACTTCTTCTTATTCTTTGGCACAACAGCCGTGAGTCAGTCTGGGCGGAGAACACAAAACTTGGAGTTGGTCAGGTCGCTATGCACTTGGTCTTTCCATTAGATGCGTGGACGCCTTTGCTTCTCTTGTCCACACCGGTCTCGAATCGAAGGAGCTTTTCATTGGACCATCATCTACCATTCGAACGGCATGGTCTAACCAGCGACAACCGAAATCGGCGTTCCGACAGCTTCTTGGGGAGAAATGTACGTATGCGAAATTCAGATCAATATTTTAAAAACTGAAGGGCATAATACAAGGGACGCATACATTCAGACAGTCAGACACAGCATTACGCTGATCGTTTATACCTATATGTATATACTTGTACTTCATACGGCCTCCGACGTTTCCAATTGGGTGTACAAACTTAATACATATTTCCTGTACAGGGTATAAACTCTATTAAATTATTAAGTGAGACAATAGGTTAATTGTAAAAATATTTAATTAAATTTGATTTTAAATTCATTCGAATGATACAGCTTATTTGAGAATCGCATATACATACCGATATGTACTTCCTATTGTTAAATTTCTTGTTTAAAAAACTAGAGCTCTTAAGTCTGGTAAAAAGGAGAAACATTTTATTTTTGTTTTCAGGTTTTGGCTTATTGCAAAATAATGGTTAGTCTTCACATTTTAAAAAAGTTAAAGAGTTTTTAGCAAACATCGGCGATTTTTTTAAATTTAACTGTCTAATTATTATAGGTTCACAGCAAAAAGTTAGTTTTAGCCTCACTCCAGCCACTACTTTTTCATTCTTTGGACGCCCTACTGAAAAAAAAAAATAAATTTAAAGTGAAAAACAAAGGATTTTATTAATTAATTACTAATTACAACAAATGATAAAGATTTTTCTTAGTATTTAATTCAATAATATTAGGTTATTGAATTTACACTTTAAGTGCTGAACACACTTAATGTGATTCTTAATAAGACAGCCTGATTTCAGTCAAATGCAATTAAATGTCATTTTCTAATTAAATCATTAAAACCATTTATTTCTTAAATGGGTGGTGATTTAAGTACAGGTACACATTTATACAATACATAAGCGGCTACAAAAAACATTCATATTTCAAAGTCAAATTAATACATAGTAAGTGTGAGCGAATGTGCCTCATGTATGTCATAATTCCCACAAAAATTAAGGAATGGGAGTGGTCTTATAAATATACTTGTATACAATATATGTATGTATGTTAGATACATACCTACATATTAAAGTTTTATTGGGAGTGGTGTATCATATATAGAATTCTGCAAATAACCGTTCATTACGCAATTGAGCTTTAAGCAGCCCATATGGCGCTTTCAACACTTGTCGAATAACACAAGAGTATTATACATATAAATAATAGTTGCAAGTAGACAATGGAAACATATGTATACAAGTATATCTTCATTTAAATACATATAATATATCCATCATGATACCTGGTAGCCATTCACATTGAGGTTACACTTCTATTTAAATTATTGATGTGCGGTCAAGCGGTATTAGATTTATTTTTTACGTCTGGCAACTACAAAGTAAATACATCTGTACACGAAAGTTTTCGCAAGAGTTTGTCTTTTCAATTGATCCTACTGAATTTTTGAACATTTCCATTTGAACTACATTATACAGAGTTTAGTTACAACTAGCGTAAATGGAAAACCACAGACTGGGCTTCGACTTAATCGTACCTCAAGTATAATTAGAACATAATATTCACATTGAAGTTAAAATCTGTAGTAATAAGTAAAAAGGTTAACTTAATTTGCACCGATATACAAATTCTTAAATACAAAAGATTTCTTACAAGAAATTGATTTTGATCGGTCAGTTTGTATGGCAGCTATACGCTATAGTGATCCGATCTGAACAAGTTCTTCAGAAATTGCACCGTTGTCTTAAGCAATAATCTGTGCCTAATTTCTTGAAGATATCTCATCAAATTAAAAGTTTTTCCATTCCGATCGTTCAATTTGTATGGCAGCTATATGCTATGGTGATTTATGGGCAGTTCCGACAAATGAGCAGCTTCTTGGGTAAGAAAGGACGAGTGGAAAATTTCAGATCGATATCTCAAAAACTGAGGGACTAGTTCGCAATATATAGTATGCAGACGGACATGGCTAAATCAACTCAGCAGAACATGCTGATCATTTGTGTATATATTTTATAGAATATTGATAAAAACTTTGTGGCACTTTTAACTTTTCTCTTAAACGAATGAGAGCAAAGGCGAATCCCGCGTGAAGATTCTAGATCACTTTATGGTATAATTTTCATATTTTTTCTTACTATTTCAAATAAAGTCTAGCATACAAGTTACAATTTTACTAAGTTACACATGCTCTGCTATATTTTATGAAGAATTCTTCAGTAGTCTTTTTGTAAACATATATCTTATTAATTCTACGTTCCGTAATCAGCAAATATCTTAAATGTCCTATTTGCCTAACTCTCCACAAAAGCCATTCAGCTTGAAAGGTGACAATTGCCATAGCAAATGAACAAGAGATTTTCGTTAAGTTGACACTTTTCTTATTTTTATTGCAATGGAACATTACTACAACAACGATGTGTTTGTTTGCTTATCTTGCTTCTTACCTACTTTTGGTACATACCTCTCTGCGTACCTATCGCCAATTTGTATTTCCAGTGAACTTACCTTTTACCTTGCCTACCAATTTACCTCCCCGAACTGCTATTTACCGCCTTGTGCCTTGTAATACCCAAAACTATCATTTCGCCATGGGTATGTCAGTTTGAAAAGTTTTTGTTTTGAAAATGATTAATGCTAAATGGATTATGTCAAATTGCGTTAATGTCATGCTGCCAATTTGTATAAATCCATTGTTGCTGTGACAAATCGAGTGAAGTACTCGTATATGTAGAAAAAAGTATTTGCTCAAATCAATTGCACTCATATGAACATATGCTCACATTATAAATATGTATATATGTGTGCAATAACATACAAATTTGTATAAATTATGAATATTTGTACATACATATATACAAATTATAGTTGTTTATTTAAAGAAACTGACTCATATACTCATCCCATGGCTCTGTTTTCCAAAATATTGAAGTATTTTCCTTTACTTCCAAAAACCTGATATTCTACATTACCTATGCCTAGCCTAATTAACATAGATTTAATAACGCAAAGCGTGGGATCAATTTAATTATGAAACCAAGTTAAAATCTAGACTTCTTTACTGTACTGCACTTAATTACTTTAAATTTATTAAATGTTTGGTCTAAATTGTTTATAATTTTGCACTTTGTAAACAAGTATGTATTATGGTAGTCAAACGAAACCACATATCTAAACATATTCTTAAATATCATAATAGCAGGGATAATGGCTATATTCAGATAAAAGGATACCTAAATCAAATACAGTGGTGAGCCTATTGACGAGAATAATAATTTGATAAACTGTTCCGAGGAATTTCGATAATTTACATCGCTTTTAAGACTCTAACGATCTGACTGAATTTCTCATTTGCTAAATTATATCGCTTATAAGGTTCAAATAATCTGACTGAACTCAAATACCAAGGGGACTTTAATAATATGATATATAATATAGGTATGTCGAATTGAAAACCACCTAATAAAGAAAAACCATAACAATGGATAAGCCGAATGACAAGAGATATCATATTAAAACCTAGTGAACTTTTCCATTTCAATGAAACTTATTAAGTTGGCAAATATTTGTTGCACAATTAATCCTTAAGATTCTCTTACCATCCACATAAATTTCACCGTATCTTTTTGTTTGATTGTTTGTTTTGAATTTTCTCTGTAACTAATTAGACGTTTTCCTTCAAATTGCAAGATTCTTTCTGATTTTTGTCAAACAATTTTACAATTGGAATCTTAAAAGCGGGAAATTATAAGCGAAAGAGGCTCGATGCAAGATTTAAGTAAAGTGTAAAGTTGATATTAAAAACGTATTTCTTCGTTTCGCATGGAATCAATATTTTATTAACAATTTGAAGTGTTGACTATAAAGTTCTTCTACTTTCTGTTGCGATTTGAATGAAATTTTTTTAATTAGGTACTTTCACCAGCTGCGAGTTTCTTCACTGTATATTTCCTCAAGTTAAACTAATTAAAACAATTAAATATGGAAAAATATATGATGGCTAACATATGATTTCCAAGACAGAATTACCCGTAATTGTGGTAAACGAGGAAAGAATAATGCAACGCTTTTTAAAAATTTACTTTTTTTCGAAAACCAGCAGAGACTAGGCGATAGAAAAATATTCCTCTGCTACTTAATAATACTTGTAATTGATATTTTCAAAACGAAAGGCATTTACATACACATACCTGCATATAAGCAAAGAAGCGGGGAAAACGGCTTGCGGTTTATGGAAAAAAATAAAAAAGCGTTCACTGGCACCTTTCACGAAGCTAGTTAAAACAATGACATGCAAAGGACATCAATTATTCAATGGTGCAACTGGCGAACTGCATAACTGCCGTCTACCTTACCCACAAGGCTACAAGTGGGAAAAAAACTAAAAAAATGCAGAAAGAATATTAAATAGGTAGACTTTTTTATTGTTGCAGAAGTTATTATTTTTATTATTCACTGTTTTATTTTTATATGAACAATCTGACTTATTGACGACGGCTGTCAGTGGGAATTCAATGTGCCGATTTGTGGTTGCACCAGCTGAGAATATACTTTGTGGTCGACATATGGCTTGTTAGACCGCTTATGTATGCCGATATGTAATTTTAAAAAATACTACATTATTTACAATGTTGCTGCACAAAAAAATTAAATAAATCACATTGCGTGTTGCATAACTATGAAAGTTTAGTATTTTTTCACACTTGGCTAACAAAGTTGCTGATTTCTGGTTGTCAATGGTTTAATGTTACAACTAAGCTTGCGTAAAAGGGACCATAAGATTACGCAGATATTTAAGAATTGTTAGCGTTTAAATTATGTAACCTGCTACTGTACTGCACTACTTTATATTAAAACGGGGATAAAATATTGTTTGTTTCGACAATTAACCAAACGCATTATCAATAATTCTTAATTGACTGCTTTAAAAATTTATTTGATACTTTCACAAGGGCGCTGGGGAAAGTCTATTATTTGTTTACCATTTGGATTGATTTAAATGATGTTCAGGTTCATTCCTTGTCAAAAATTCCTCGGTCCAAAATGATTTTTTTGGTTAAATTTTGCCAGTACTAAAAAAGTGGCATGTGGTAATGCCCATGGTGGGACGTTGAATTGTATTGATTGTTATATGTTAATCGCATGGATTATGCCATATAGTTTTCTGTCGCAGTATATTAATAAGTTCACTTATTTAAAATCTATCCACCCGCACTAACAGGTCTTTTCATTTGCCTTGAATCTAATACACAGTATATATTTCGGATAATTATTGAGTATCAGATAAGTGAAAGGGGGGAATATATAATAACTACGCTTAAATATCAGCTATATATTATTTCGAGCTTTCTTTTTGGCAGCTGTTATTTGATTTATATTCAGATATTCAAGTCAGAACACACTTACACCGAAATGTAATAATGATGGTTGAATAAAAACCAAATTGTCGCTTTTGGATAATCCATATGCCATTGTTGAGACGCCGTTACATCCTCAAAATGTCACTGTTTGGTATGCTCTATGGGCAGAGGAAATAATTGGTCCATATTTTTTCAAAAATGAAGCCGGCCATAATGTTACAGTCAATAGGAAACGCTATGGAGCCATGATTAATGACTGTTTCGTGCCTGAATTGAGGATATTGAAGTGGACGATATTTGGTTCTATACATGCCACACAGCCAATGAAACAATCAATTTATTGAAGCAAACTTTTGGTGAGCGCGTTATCTCGCAAATGTGGGCCTGCGTCGTGGCCTCTAAGATCTTGCGATTTACCACTTTTGGATTATTTTTTGTAGGGTGATGTGAAGTCGCTTGTCTACGTAGATGGGCCCGAGACGAATTATGCTTTGGAATAGAACATTCAGAGCGATAGTGCTAATATACGAATTAATTCGAGCCAGACATAGTAATTTTAAGTTATATGCGTTTTATTTCTTTTTGAAAACCAAATGTCTAAAAAAACACCCTTTTTATAAATAATCAGCGTGACGAGATTATTTCCTCAGTTTCTGACCACCAACAACAAGCTGTTCATTTGTTTGAACCGCCGATATCGGAAGACTAAAGCATATAGCTGCCATACAAACTCACCGATCACGAAATTTGGCATACATTATTATTCAAGGAATCACTACAATATCCGAAGAAATTGTTTAGATCGGACTACTATAGCATTACGCTGTTATACAAACTGACCAAACAAACTCAAGTCCAGGCATGGAAAACTTTTTTATTTGACAAGCAAAAAATTAAAAAACTCGAATGTATTAATAAATAAGATAGTGAGCACCTTAAAACTATTTTTAGCTCTACTCCGTCTGAACTCTTGTTTCGATTATTTTTGTTGGAATATGTATCTTTAGGCATACTGTCACATACTTAGATTACCACACTATTCTAAATGTACTATTGTAGTTTACTTGAAGAATTTTTAGAATGACTTATACAAAAATAGTATTAAGATGATTTAATTTGACTTTTATATATTTATGTATTTTTCTTAACATATAAAATTTAGAATACTTTATATATATACTATTTTATAGCGAAAACAGTGTTTTACTTCTATGAGATTATTTTGCACCTTTTGAACTACACTACTGTTGTATGACTGGCATAATTCTGGCCAAAATTTGACAATTGACTCGTAAAGCTATAATTGTAGAACATAAAAATTATAGTTGTTCATTAGTAAACCAGACAGTCGACTAACTAGTTAAGCTTGTAGTCCACACTAGTTGCAAAGTAGTTCAAAACAACTTGAATACAAGGAATGTGCAGATTCATATATACTATATATGCAAATATGGTATATATCTGCACGTACACGTGGCTGTGCAACTACCATTGACGATTTTCGTATGCCTGGTAATCTGTGCACATGCTGCTACTTCTAATAAATTACACCCTCCAGCTGCACTAATTTATGGGTGCGAAATTTCCACACACTTCCACACAGCAGTAACGCACTGTCGTTATTATTTCTCAAGCAATTGTTGTTGCTTTTCACACATCTAGTGTCAGAAATTCAGTTGTTGTGCACTGCTGTCATTATTATAACTTCGACTACTGAATACGCTTGTGCCATATTAGAACTGCCCTGCCAATTTGCTGGAATGACAGAGCACGCCAACAACACCAAAAGCAAGCACCCAAAAATTTGCTGGCAGTCACCCTCAACCATGTAGAAAATTTAAAATCAAAATAAACGCCCACAATTTGGCAGGAAATTCTAAGCTTGTCACTAGGCATTGTGCCTGTAGTGTGTGTATACGTACATGAATGTGTGAATAAATCAGAATTCTCATCAAGCTTACTCGTACGTGTATGTATGTATGTCTCTACGTACCCAACGAGTAACTGGTCGATCTTGGCAAGCGAAAGTCCATAACAACGCTGAACATTTTAAGTATTCGATACATTTTCTCATTCTCTTCGACTTGCATTCACACACATGTATGCACACCAACTACACTGTGTGTGTATAATAAGCCTGCTTTCTCAATTATGTGAGTCAACTGACATTTGAGCTATTGGTTTCATTTTCCCAACAATAAAATCGTTTCAGGACTGCAGAAGCTTCAACATTTTACGTTGCAGTGTCGTTGATGAGATGAAAGTTATTTGTCAAAGTGCATTCAATTGGAATAATTTTGATACGTGCGCACACAATTTTAATTTGGATGCACAAATGC